TCTCCAGACTTTGTATTTCGAAAACATCTAACCTGCGTATGGAAGAACTCGTTTTACCTTATTTAAATTGTACATACATAAAATTGCAAGAAGACGATAAAATAACTTAAGAGGTCAAGGTTCAACAGATTGCGTTCGGTGACATAGAAAAAACGCGATATCATATAAACAGATTGGTAATGTATATATGTATAAATTTGAAAGTCTCGAGTGCAGTGATACAGCCACTGCACTAACTATAGATTTGCGACTAAATCGAAATATAAATTGTTTATATGCTGTTAATTATGTATTGTAATTAATAAATATGGCATACGATTATTTTGTTATGTTTAGAAGTTAGTGTAGCAAGTGGATTTATAATGATTTCACTCGGCAATAACATCGTTCATGCGTCTGTTAATCTATAATAATAATTATTAAGATAGAACTGTTTAGGCAGACTGTATTTACGTTGGACCACAAACCGGTCTGTGGTTGAAAACGGACGCTATTTCAGAATATTGCAAAAATAACTCATGATTTATAATTCAAAGAGGCAACTGAGTTAATTTTACGGACAGATGGCCCCATTTCTAAAAGTCTGCTCCGCTTTGCATTCTAACAACCAAAAATGTAATTTGTTGGTTTGCTCTAAGAAATGTGAGTTAAATCCAAAATATAGGAATAAATAGTGTTTTAATAATAGTGTTTCAGTATTGAAGAGGTTAACAACCTTAATTAAACGCTTAATTCAAGAATATTTTATACTAGATGTCACTGGAGTCCTATCCAAATGAACGTGTACCAATAAGATTTGAACTTTCGCTTTTGTTTTGTAAAAAAAAAATTGTTAAATGTATGCCTGATTTGTTGAGACACTGTCACCTCCTCGCCTCATGGCAAATTATAGTGAGCTATACTTATCTTCTATTCCAAGTTGGAACAAATTAGGGAATTACTATTTTTTTAAGTATCCTTAGACGGGCGAAATTAGGCCCAATAATAATAGAAACAAGACATATTTTATGTATTGTTTTTCTTTTAGAATATTCGATGTTAATGATAATTATATTATATTAATTTAGAGTTGTTATCGCGGGATAAGATAGTACTACAAAATTGTTTTTCTTTTATAAAAGTAAACTAATCCTTTTATAATAAAAAATACTTCTAAATTATATAAAATATTTAAGTCTAAAATATTACTATTATTATAACAAAATATTGTTAAAATATTTCAAAGCATGTGCAGTCTGCCCATCCGCAGTCAATAGAGTCGTCTATGTCCTAATACCCTCTATACAACTAATATCTCTATATATTTAAATCTCTATATCTTATCGAATGATATTTTTCATTCCCTGAAAACAGAGATAAAAGGACATTTTTCGCCCCCAAATCTACGCACATACTAAATTTCATGAAAATCGCTGGAGCCGTTTCCGAGATTATATATATATATATCCTTTTATGTCTGTTTTCAGGGAATGAAAAATATCATTCGAATATGACGGTAAATTTCGCCAAAAGCGAAATCTTATAATAGCTCAGTCGGTAATCGGGCGGCCCCGAAACAGAAGGCCGCGGTTCGTATCACGATAATTTACACACCTTTTTTTTTTACTTTTTTTTCTATACCAGATCATTGCTTTTTTTACTTTCTATTTTTTTTATTTCCAAAATAAGTACACGATATACCAAAAAAAAGTTCTTCCAGGTACTACTAATTATAACAGCTATGGTGGAAGTTGAAATCAAATGTCAAATGACATTTCACACTTCATTATATTTCCTCTAGCTAACGACACGCGAAAGCTTTCGTGTTTGTTTGCAATATTACTACGTATTTATAAACAATAAACAAAATAAAACAATAAAAAGATCTTTATTTGACCAAGCTACATTTCATCTTAATTACTAAATTATTATATATTAGGTACTTAATAATTGCTAGATATACAAACATTAAAAACTTACTAAACTTATCCACTTACATCTATACTGTGGTTAAAGGTGGTAGGGCCACGCAGCAGTCTCGGCTGTTGCACGAATGATCAGGCCCGTCCGGGTAAGTACCTCACAGAAGACCAGCGTAAAGTGGAAGTATGACAAATACTTTCGCGTTTCGTCTGGTGAGTGAGGTGGCCGGAGCCCAAATTTCAAAAGATTGTCAACGCATCTGTAACCCTCGGGTGTAGCAGATGCCCATGGGCGGTGGTATTCACTTACCATCAGGTGATCAGATGACCCAGGTATTTTCCCAATGGACTTTGATATCTCGCATTGTTGATCGATTTTTGGAAATGGCACTCAAGGATGGTTTTTGTTTTGTCGTCAAGCTGCTAGTAACATTCCAGAGATCACCGTTTGTTAAGTGAAATGATAGTATGAGCTGACTACATATATGATAATGTGTATGAGAAAGAATGAATTGAAATAAGAAATTGTAACAGCAACTTCTTATTTCAAAGGGAGAAATAAATTCAATTTCTCTTTGCAGTTAGCAAAAAATTTTTATCTCCCATAGAAGAATAAAAAACATTGTTGTTTTTTGAGAAAATGTAATAATGTTCCCTTAAAGCAGTGTAAAAATGGTTACTATAACGTCAGGGCCAATTTTCTAAGAACCTTCGTCCGTCTCCTATCGTACGATGAAGTCATAAAAAACTTTGCCGCTTCCATATGAATTCCAGTGCATCGCAATCGCCGACCGTAATGGATTTTCTATATAGTTTACTGCGCAATATGAAGAAAATGAATAGCATTCCTTGGTTATTAAAACTTACTAAGGTCGCCTGGAAGAGGTCGATTGTACTTGTGGCCTCGGATCTATTCTCGGCTAGGAACTGTTCTTGAACGGTAATAGTATTACTAGAGATTTTAAACTCCATCTTATATCTCACCTCTGCAGTGGCAAAACATAAAGAATTCATATCTTCTACCAAATACGACATTATTTCATTATAGTGTTATTCCGTTTAAGTTTTAGTGCTTGGGTGGCATTATCTGTGCCACCCATGCACTCGCAGACTACGCCATTTCCAACAGCACATTTTCAGTTCTAACAACTGACCCGTCAAACTTGTTAAGCAACGGCTGCACACCCCAGGCCGAAGTTTCACCCAAGAAGAGAACATTTGCTTTGCATTTAACTCATCTGAGAAAGTTTTACTTATGTGTGTATAACTGTGCATAAGATATATTCTGAATAACAGACAGCTGCAGTTTTAATTGAGAAGTAAATTTCATCAAAATTTGGATCTATTCACTCAACTAGAACGTGTACAGCTCCAATTTTACTCTGATGGTATTTTTTATTTATTTTATAATCAATGTTCCAAATAGTGTCACCTCAGGTATTAAGTCATGGAGTTAACGCGTAAAATGAAGACTTATCTATCGTCACATATATCTATAATATATAGGCTGATGTATGTACATCTGCCAATTAAACATACGTTTTTATATTTTAGAATTTAATTAACGGAATATCCAAGCTAAAATACATTAACCATTACACTAATGCATATCTATACAGTATACCTATCAATGCTCTAACCTCAATACGCCATTGCATCGGATTTAGATCTGTGAACACTTTGTAGTTCAAGATACTTTCGTCTCGAGTGTTAAAACGCTTGTTTAACAAACATTTAAAAGAAATGTTCGTTCTGTAATAAACGTTCGGGAGGAATGTGCTTTTCTTTTCTCAAGTACATATTTTGAAAACTAAATTAAAATAATAATTACACATAAATTTAGTATCACGAAACACATTGAATAATATTTATATCCTTCTACTATATCGGTCCAATTTGATTAAAAGGTATTATACTTTATTCATCGCATTTGCAACCGTGGTTGGGGTGTTACAAATGCGGGCGGCGATGGTTATCACTTAACATCAGGTGAACTGCCAGCTCGTTTATCACTTTCTGACATAAAAAAAAATTTAATTCGCACTAACACAAATGTAATTCGACGCAATAGTCGACGTTTCACGTCGACTATTGCTTTAGAGATTTCCTTCTTCGTAAGATTACTTTTTGGAAAAAGTTCCCACCAGTGGCATTTTTGCATTTAGGTTCTTTAAAGATAAGGTTCTATTAAAAGGAATCAAGCCGGCAATGCATTTGAACTACACTGACGTCAAAAATGTCCCTGGGCAGTGGTTATAACTTGCCATCAATAAATTGCCTTTATTTCCATATGAAACAATATTTGGAATGCGTGTACATGTATTTAAACAAACATATTATTACCTTTCTGATAAAAAGTAAAGTAACAGCCTATACATGTCCCACTGCTGGGCAAAGGCCTCCTCTATACAGAGGGTATCAGGGCATAGTCCACCACGCGGCCCCACTGCGGATTGGCGGACTTCACATATTTTCGAAATATATTTTTTTTGTTATTATTTCGAAAATATGCAGGTTTCCTCACGATGTTTTCCTTCACCGCGGAGCACGTGATAAGTCAGCACTTAAAGTTAAAAACTTCATTGGTGCCGGCACCGGGGATCGAACTCAGGTTGCTCGAGTATATTGAGTTAAAGGCGAGCGCCCGGACACTGAGCTATCACGGCTCCTTTCTGATAGTAAACAATCAAACTATAGTTTAAGATAGGTTACAGATATAAAATTATTAATCGTGATTAGGGTTTCTATTGACCAGTAAACTTACCGTGGTTCACTGTTTTAAGGATAAGGAATGCATATGCAGCATGGGTAATCACATAACTTGAGGTGAAACGCTTGCTATATTTTCATCAAACAAAATATTTAAACAAATTACTAAGTTTCTATTAGATTACATAAATATAAAGGCTCTATATAATTAAAATATACCAAATTGCAAAATTCATTAACTTAAGTAGAGTTGTTTAATCACTAAGCTGCTTTAATCACTAAGTTATTAGTTTTAATAATACAATATTATTATATATTTTTAAACGATTGAACTTGTAAAGACGTTAACTTTTTTTCTTCCAGATCTAAATAAAAACACAGTGGCTGTTAATGAACAAGCCAGTAGTGACCCACAATTATGGCTTGAAATCAACGGCACCAAATCCAGTGTTATTGTCCGTGATGACGTGCCCATTTCGACGCGCCTCATCTCAGCAGCAGTTTGCCAATGGCGGCGCTTCCGGCAAAAAGCCAGAGTTCCGGTCGCGACAGTCGTCCTTCCACCTCCCCGGGCCTGATGAAGAAGAAACGGAAAGAAACACCCTCACGTTGAAACATCTGAGCGAGGCATTGCAGTTACTCACAGCGCCGTCGGTGAGTCCCGCATAAACTGAGGTCACTACGAACTTTTCAAGTAGTCTGTGGTAGGGTAATTTTACTGTGGTAGGGCCACTTAACAGTTCGCTGTTTCACGAAAAGGCAGGTCCGTCCCAGGAAGTAACACGTCCTCACAGGAGACCGGCGTGAAGCGATGTTTATTAAAAGGTGGCAACGTATCTGTAACCATATGGGTGTTGCAAATGTCTATGGGCGGCGGTTATCACTTAACATCGGGTGAACCGTCAGCTTGCTTATAATCTTCTTACATAAAAAAACCCTCCGTGGCGTAGTTGTCAAGGTATTGGCATCGGTCCCGGTACCGATGCCGACATCTTGGCACGGTATTCTTTAGTTATAGTATTGTTATTATTACAATTATGGGATTGACGACTTGAACATCAACGTCCCATCTTGAATGACACTTTCGAACGACGTATCAATTTAATTTAATTTTAAATCACCTGTAAAGATGTACGTGGAGGATGGTGCACTGACGAGAAGACTTCGATTTAGTAGACGGGTATAGTGGTTTGAGCAACATCGAAAGGGCGGCCGCGCAAGTGTTTGTTGTAAATAAAATCCCAGTAATTATCATTTTCCAAAATTCGGATAGAAACAAAATAGATAGCGGAGAGCTAAAATACTGACTTTGGAAACTGGACCGTCGCAAAGTATAATTAGCAGCAATCCATTTCGACAGCTTGATTATCAGCGAATGTTGTCTGCTGGAACTTTTTTCATTTGTCGAAATAATTTCGGAGCTACGTAATTGTGAAGATGAGTCTAAATATTAAATTAAGGAGCGTATCTCCTGTATCCTGAAGGTCTTGGTCGATATTTTCTCAAGCAATGATGAGGACATTGGCAGAACTCATGTAGTCCAGCATAAGATCAACTCTGACAGAACGAACCCTTTTGACAACGTAATTGCTGGAGACCATTTGCGTGCGATGCAGAAGTGTAGATATGAGAAATAGTTTTTTAGTGGTCCTAGTGAAGAAGAATGACGGTTCCGCTAGATTTTGCATTGATTATAGACGTTTCAATGAACTGTAAAGGCGTTCGTAGGGGGTAGTGCGATATCGAAAGGGTCACGTCTGTAGTAGACGAGTAAAGAGGAGGATTTGAGCAGCATCATAATAAAGTGAAGGTTTGAACTAGCGTTTTACACCGATCCCGAAACTCTCAAAGAATATAAAGGACCGAAGATTTATGCAGTGTGTGTACGCATTAAATAACTCCAATCATCACACCAGATTTATTAATAGACCACAGATAAGATTTTTCGTTTTTTATTCTTAGTTGTTTATAATTACTGTGAAAAATGTTGAAACATTTTCTAAAAATTTTAATTTTTATTTGACATTTAAAAAACTTCTCCTTTAAAGTAAGATATTATACGCCAGACTTTCTTTTAAATGTTTAATTCTCTGAACAAAATTTTAAAGATTTAAATATTTTTATAGAAAATTTGTTGTTTTTTGAAAATAATCAAAAATCTCTACAATATTTGTTAGTTAAAGGTAAAATTAAAATAATTATACTTTCTACATAAATTCATAGACGATAGTATCTAATAAACATATGGTGTTGTCAATTCCTATCCGGAAATATTAATTGTATGCCCTCCAAGAATTTTACGGCGCCATTGTATCCATGGAGGACAATGAATTATACTTGAGCTATTCTTTATGAGATCACTAAGGATAGAACAATAGTGTTGTGTAATAGATTAAAGATTTAAAAGGGTGCAGTTATATTTTATTGTGGTCAAATTTTAGATGGCAGCTGTTTTATGCTTTATTTTAGCACTTCTATATAGCTTTAATATGTATTTTTAAAGCCTTAAAAGTAGATCTAGATTTTACACGTTATTAATATATTATATTTAAGTAACATGTATTCAATAGCAAAACCCCTAATGCTGAAATGAAAACAATTAGAAATTGTGAAACTAGAGTATTGCATTCATAGATAACGTTACAACTAATTTACAAGTCTTTATTACATGCGTAAAGTTGTCTTACTAACAATATTGCGTAGTCTGATAACTTTTGATTGGAATATTAAGCGCCATGAATGCTTGTAAACTCTTCTTAACAAGTTATTTTATGCCAGTGGTTTTATTGTTGACGGCGTCTTTAATGTATAAGTCTGTATAAGTCTAGCTGTGCCCTTGCATGCCACGCTTTTTGTTCCTTGGGATAGTGTAAATAGGGATTACGAGGACTAAGTATTTAATTCACATTTATTTTATATTTATCTAACCTTTTTCTTATTCCATTAGTTTTTTAAATTTCTTTATCAAGTTGTTAGGTAAGTATCTATATATTTATTTGTTGTACCCAAAATATTAGTTTTCTGTTTATCCATGTACTTATATTTTGACGTGTTTTGACGTTCAATATTCCACCAACATGTCGTAATTTTTACTGTGTTGTTGACTTTGTTTTAAAATTTATAACACAGACAAATCTGGTCTAAAAGGAAACGCATAGTAAATATTTTTACTTCTTTAGTCAATGAAAAAGTCGTATTATAGAATTTTGTAAGCTCACGCTATTGAAAATAGATTTCGTATCACTTTTAAATAAACATATTTCCTACACGGGTTTGAGTTCCGACATACTGGATATTTACATCGCGCTCACGAACAGAATTGAAATGCAGGTATTTGAAAATATCTTAATGCTGCCTTCAATTTCTGGTTTGGCTCACTACATAATCGTATCGAAATAAATGCAAATTCACTTTAAAAATGAACGAGTGTTTTGATAATGTTCAGTGATAATAGGACCGATCGATAACTGATTAAATGCTCTATTATCACCAGTACATACAAGCACATTAAATTAAATAAAATTACGGTGTTAGGGCCACGCTGCAGCCTCGGCTGTTGCCCGAATGGGCAGGCTCGTCCGGGTAAGTACCACGACCTCACAGAAGACCGGCGTAAAGTGGAAGTATAATACTTTCGCGTTTCGTCTGGTGAGTAAGGTGGCCGGAGCCCAATTTTCAAAAGGTTGTCAACGCATCTGTAGCCCTCGGGTGTAGCAGATGTCCATGGGCGGCGGTATTCACTTAACATCAGGTGAACCAACTGCTCGTTTGGCAACCTTTCACATTAAAAAAAACATTAAAAAAAATGGTGCATTTTGTATTCCAACATCGATTTTTTAAAAAGATTAATTTTTTGAAAAAGCTCTAATTGCCAAGGTTCGGAGTGCATTCACTATATGCCCCATATAGTTCCATAATATATACAATCGAATCGATAGAATAAAAAAATAATGCAAGATCGAACCCTTTATCATCAACTAGCGACCTGCCCCAGCTTTGCACGGTTTTAAGGTATTATACATAATATGAACCTTCCTCTTGCATCACTCTATCTAGTAAAAAAAACGCATCAAGATCGGTTGCGTAGTTTTAAAGATGTATGCTTAAAACATAGGGACAGACGGACAGTAGGACGACTTTGTTTTATACTATGTAGTGACTGGTTGTCAAGCGAAAGAATTTATTTTAGTCCAAATGTTGTAATTGTATTTTCCATTCGCCGAACTTCTCGCGAAAAAAACGTAGAACGATACGAACGAACGGAACGAACGGCTACGATTCACTAGGCTTTCGATTCGTGATAGTTTTAAAACGAAAATTTTTTTTCGATGCTGACATGGCACTCTAAATGCCGAATAGAGAAAATAGAAAAAAGTAAGCGAGATTACCATGACCAAGTCCAAATAGGCCATTCTGTATCCTGTAAGTAATCTGTTACTGGGACAAGAAATCCGGGCCATTAGTCATCCGATATGTTCGAACGTTGAAACCATTTTTACTTTCCTCCAATGAGGGTTCGCTTTCTTTGTAACGTAATATAGTGGTCTGATCACTTAAGGTGTTAAGTTACAGAAAAGGTAGAATATACTATTCGAACGCATAGCTACTGGCGACTAAAGTATATAGCGTGTAATTACACGTTATACACATAGAGTGTTACATTACGTAGAGTGTTAACGACAATAAATGAACACACGTCTAACGCTACTTGCCAATTATCATAAAAAAATATAAACGTTAAAAAATCCATAACTGAAAAAAACTGTTTTTCAAACAAATTAATTTAATAAAAAAGAAACAAAATTTGCAGCGATTGAGAACTATGTTGGATTGGAACGACTGTAATATGTATACAAATAAAATAACTGAAAACCTAATACAAGCTCATAAAGGTTTCTGTAGAAGCATAAAAAATTAAGAAGATATGTCGGGCTATATTTACAAACCTAGTTATATTTCAAATGCTATGAAGATTTATATTTTATTTGCAAGAATCCATAAGTAAAATCTCAAAGCTGATAGCCTAAACAGGATTGGATTTATTCCGCATTTGTTTGTATCGATGTCACGTATTGACGTACGACAGTCAAGCAATGATAACAATTTAAATATACGTTCTCGATCGTTTTAATTGTTCTATACTAAAAATGGGCGACAGTGGACTAAACTTATTGCAATATGGTTTTAGCAGGAATCGTCTTTCATAATAAAATTGTTTTGATCAATCTTACTTTATGAGATACGGTGGCAAGCGATTCAGGTGACAGTACAGCTGTCATGCACTGGGCAGTTCCTCAGATTGTGAATTAACAATATGTGAATGTATCTATCGATTTATAGACTTAAAAGTCTCATATTTTTATGTAAAAGATCGTCAAAGTTTTTCAATTTCTCAAGTTTAGTACTGAGAAATATCCCATTGGATACACCCAAGCGATTGTCACTAAGCTTAAGATAAGCCGGTTGAATTTTCCCTCAAGGCTTTATAACGTGGTTTTTTTTGTCAGTCTAACGGGCCTCGATGCTGTACCCTGATTGCATTGCAACACCCGAGGGCTTACAAATGCGTTGCCAGCCTTTAAGGAAAGAGTATGCTCTCTGCTTGAAGGTTCCCAGGTCATAACGGTTCCGAAAAACCGCCGGCGGCAGCTGGTTCCACAGAGCGGTTGTGCAAGCCAGGAAATGAATTTATACAGTTGTTTTTATATATGTGAAATGAATAATAGAATATGTGAAAAGGTGGCAAGGAAGTTGGCAGTTCACTGGTAGTTAAGTGATAAACTCCACTCATTGTCATTTGTAACACCTGTAGTAGGGGTAAATATGCATTGTCACCTTTTAGTAAAGTGGACCCCGGCTATCCCACTCACCAGACGAAACTCAGATTTCCTTGCACTTCCATTTCATGCCGGTCTGCTGTGAGATCGTGGTACTTACTCGTACGGACCTGTCCGTTAGTGACTGTTGCGTGGCCCTACCACAGTGAAAATCATGCTCGTTTCTCGAATTCTAAACCCTAATTTGGTCTGTCCGCTGCTAGCGTTGTGGTAAAATGTAGGGCTCATAAACAAATGGGTGTCCATTAAAATATGTAGAAAAAGTACTAAAAGATTGTCGCGACTGTCCACAGCGGCAACAATCTTTTCGTACTTTTTCTACATGTTTTAATGTTCAATCTTAAGGACAGAGATTAGCACTATAAAAAACTGTAAAATGGGTGTCCATTAAAATAAATCCTCATTCACTCACATAGGTGTATAGTATTTTTTTAATGACGGGAAAATTTTTTAAATGTATATTATTCATCCAAGTTTATAATAAAATTGTAATTTTAATTGAACATTTTATATGAAGATGTAAGGAAGGATATTTTTAAATTTAATAATATAGCAAAAAAGTTTTTAATGAAGAGATAAAGGGGAACTTGCGACGCTTGGAAGTAATTTATGTAAATTTAGTTGGCAACTTGTACCTTGGAATGAACAATATGCTGGTATGAGTATTCAGGTCGTGTCCAAGGCTCGCGAAGGTCAAGGCAATCGCTAACGTGACGGCACTATTATTCTGGAGCATCTTATTTGAAGTAATGAGATTACTTCTTTTATCCCTCTTTTAATAATAGGAAACTTATTTATCTTCTAGTTTCCTACACGAAGATTATCGCTTTATTCTATTCATTCATTGTCGTTTTATACATTCATTTATTCATTGTGATTTCTAAGATAAATGAATCCCTTAAGATTATGACTGGGTATTACAATATATCAATGTAATACATTAGTTAACTGCCAAGGTTAAGAATTAGAAGAAGAAAAAAAAGAAGTCTAGTTGCTTTTTCCTGTCACTCAAAATTATTACTATAGCGAAAATGGTACACAATATAATTTTGTGTAGATTTTAGCTCACGTTCAGTAAAATGAGATTAAAGCTCATCCATAACATACCAGTTGGAACAATTAAGTGTGATTGGGGAAAATTTTATAATCATTGCGCTTTGAAACGGAATAACAATTCTTGGTTGATACTTTAAAGCAATAAAGATTGAGAGGATAATGCAGACAGAACATGGCTTAGACAAATGAAGAAAAAAAGATAAAAGTTAAAAGATGATATATAGCATTGAAAATTAGCATTAATATATTCTTTTATAAAATTTAATAAGTTCACTCTCATGATAGATAGCTACCTATATTTTATGCGCACAATGAGCCACGGACGACTGGCATTTGTTAGGTTTCAGCCCCTATCAGGTGTTTTTTATAAGTCTGGAAAAATGTCTACACAATTTAATTATTTCTGTGTTTTTATCTCATAAATATTGAAACAATACTTGAAACAGTCGTTAAAATTATGTACATACTTTGAACGTCGTTTCGAAAAATATAAAAAAGTGTAACACTTAAGTAACATTGTCCTGTGTTGTAAGGACGGTTTTAAAAACATGAATTTTATTCATTTCATTCATTACTATAAAGATATTTGTAAAAGACTGAAAAGTCAATTAAAATATCCCATTGCATTGTTTTGTATACGTAAAATAGATTCAGAGCAATACTTTATTTATATTAAATTATCGTAAATCGGTTTTAGTTGTAGAATTTAATTTAAAAAATAGGAATAATCACTTCCAAAACATGCATTATCAAAACCATATTTCCACCAGAAATATTTGCGAATATTGTACCTACTCATAATGTTTTTTTTTTTTTTAATAGAACGAGTGTCTACATGCTGCGGTTACATCGCTGACCAAGAATCAAGCAGAGCATTATGACAAGTACAACTGTTTGTGAGTATAAAACATTTTGTGTGACTTAAAAAATAGTATCTACTAAAATTTCTGTGTAGAGCATGATATACAAAGAAATGTATGTAACTTCTAGAAACCTAGCTATAACAACAGCTGAACTAGGAATATGTTTTTGATGTTACAAGCCCGAAAATTAAAAAAAAATTAGAGATTAGACCTATATATCGATTTTAAAAAGACTGCTAACGCCTGTCGCAAGTTTATAGCAAACTTACGTGCATTAGGATGTAAATTGTATTTTTATGTAAAGTAAATAGATGTTATGTTTTTCTATCTTCCGACTTTAGCTACATTACGCCTTCACATTATAAGCCTTCACCGCGTTAATCTTTCATTTGTTAAATTCCGGCAATTTTACTACAAAGACAAAAGTTAAACGTGATATATTAACATTGAATCCTGATTATTTTGCCTTTAATAAATAAATAGCTCCGTTTTGTTCAGACGAAGATTACCCGACGACGTAAGAACCTGGAGGAATTATGCATATTTAGAAGAAATTTACGACGCTGTGCGTGCAACTGATAGTGAGTTATTTAATATTATTTTATACCATCATCTTTATTCGTATAACGGACTATATGTGGTACCTATATTTAATTATAATAATTGTCAAAGATTTGGTGTAACATTTATAATAAATGTTATGACGAGAGCTATAAATGAAGTAGACCAACATACATATAAATGTTATTAGTTGATTATATGTTAACGTTATTAGTTGAAACCTTTAGTGCTTAGCTTATTGGTACTGGTTTCCTTGTAGGCATGAACACAGAAGATTTCATGGCAAAACTAGGAGAATACTTGATACTAACAGCATTTTCACACAACTGTCGGTTGGAGAGAGCATTCAAGTGCCTAGGGACTAATCTAACAGAGTTTCTAACCACTCTTGACAGCGTTCACGATGTTTTACATGATCAGGTAATATATTTGTTCTGAATCATTGTGACTATTAAAAAGCAGTTGTATTGAGATAATGTTAACTTTAATTTTAGGACGACGTGTTGAAGGACGAAACTATTGAATACGAGGCCGCGTTTATGTGCACAACGTCGAGGGACAAGATTGAATTGTATCTTACAACAGAATGCGAGCCGGTTGCCTATTTATTAGTGGGAAGCCTCAGGGCAATCGCTAGGCGCCTCTACGATACACAAACTGACATAAAACTGATGAGTTTTACGAACGACCCGAGGAGATTCAGGTCTGTGCTACTTTAGAATCACGCATCCCAAAGTTTACTGGTACGAAACGAAAGAAACGCGCCAATTAAAAATGGAGCAATTAGCTTGTTTTTCGTTCGTTAACTCACAAACGTCCAGTCTGGTTAAACGAAACTGCTCTGGTTTAACGATAACGCTATGCTCTAGAAAAAGTTTTCTTTTCCGAGCGCGGCGTTTCAGTTAGTGTATTCGACCGACTGAGATTGATAAACTGCAGATAGGCAGTTGTTTACAATTCTGCTGGATTTCATATAAACAGTAAAAGATTCCGTGTTGATTCTGCGTATGAATAATGAAAGCTAAATATATATAGCCCACGCTCATACAAATTTTCTTGCTGAAGGGCCTGCGGAGCCCTTCCATGAAGGTACTGTTGAAAATGCTGATATATTCGCGAAATAAATATATCATTTATTCGTAGACGTTGGTCGATTTTTTTGACCGATAAAATAAAAACCTTAATTTCTGAAATAACTTTGGTTTAAGCCGTATTTTTATATTTTTCAGACGGTCTATCCTTTTTAAAATTTACCAAAATAAAAATTATACCAATCAACAGTGTTTTCCGTTAAATATTATTCAACTGTGAATACTTCCAGGTATGAAATCAACGCCGTACCACTGCAGCAAAAACCTAAACCAGATAATTGCGAGGCGGCTGGCAACGCTTCCTGCGTCGCCTCATCGAGTAAAGTAACGGACTTACGTATCGGCGTTGCGAGCTTTTGCAAAGCTTTTCCCTGGCATTTTGTGACGGACAAACGGTTGGAGCTCGTACAGTTGGGTAAGTCTTGATTTGGTAACCATCTACCGTGTGCTTAGCCGAAATATATTAAAACATTTTTTAACAGTGAGGTGTCCTTATCTTAATCGGGCTGTGTTTTTACTTCTTCATAGTAACTATAGAAGGCTTCTTCAGTCACAGTTCAAAGAAGTTAGGAAGTGACTCGAACTAAAGACATAACAGCCAATGACAAACTGGTAAAATAGATTTCGTGATGCTTTGAAAAGTAATTAGTAGTAATGAGTTAAGTAACGGGTCACGCTCACGCTTGGCTTAGCGTTTAAAAGTATGCACCACACTGCTAAAGTTGCAACTTCAAAATAATAGCAACGATTTTGTATAAATAAACATTCTTTGATTTATTAAATAATAGCAACGATTTTTTTGTAAATAAACGTTTTTTTCTTGATTAAAGAAACAAGTAATTTATCGGTTTTATGATATATAACTGTAGGCCTTTTTTAATCAGTACAGTTCGGCTAAGTTGTTTAGTGTCCTGATTCGAAACAAAAATTTTACAACTTATCTAATAAACTCACATGTATAACTTATGTACAGTCAAGATCTGTCGATCCGCGAATCACACAAAAATAATTTTAAATGTTGGAAATGCGTAAAATACAGAAAAATAACAATTATTTACGTCAAAAATGTAATTTTAAACGTATGTAGGAATCTAAACATAAATCTGTTGTGTAAATTCAACATAAAAAAATTTATTACTTCTAAACATACTTATTATACTTTCATAACTCTTCCGATATTTTTAACGTCATGTCATTATGCAAGTCTCGTTAGTTTTATGAGCGTTTTTATTATTAGCTATAACTAATAACGACTTCTCGGGCGATTTATTTGAAAACGGATTAACATAATAACAGTTTGGGGATTCACCGCCTTTTAAGAATTCAGTGAGAGTTTGGAAAATTCTAGAGTCACGAGTTTTTTATTAATGACTGAGGCATTATTTATGTCAAAATTTATTTATTCAATATAGGCTTATTTTAAGCTCTTGTTGAACGTCAAAATAACTACCACCGATTCACTAAACTAGACCTATCCAGAGAAGAAGAGACAAGAAAATATTTTTGTTTTATAAAAAATATCTTTTTTTAATTAATAAGTATATAAAATTATTTAAGTGATAGCTCATTTTCTAGGCGCTTGCTTCTAATTCAATATACTCAAGCATCTCGAGTTCGATCCTCGGTGCCGGCACCAATGAAATTGTTAATTTTAGGTGAATGAAAACACCGGCATATTTTTGAAATAATAACAGAATGAAAATGTTTCGAAGAAAGGTGAATCCGGAAAAGAACTCAGCGTAGTCTACCGGAGTCGATGGCCAGTTTCGACTGTACCATCACGCAGTTCAAGCAATTGGTCATAGGCTCCCTGAGGGGCTAGCTCTAGGATTACTTCTTTGCACAGGCTGAAGGGCATCGTCTCTAGCACATATTTTCGAACCAACTTTATCTCTGTATACACAAAAGATACACATTTCAATAAAGGAATTCAATAAAAACAAGGAGCCATTAAACTAAATCTAATTAGGTATAACGATATTATACTAATGATTTACTTTTTACTGATCTATTGATCTCAAATGTATTTATCTCAAATGTCCTAATAATATTTACTTTAGACAAGTACATTAGATACGCATCAATCTACTAAAATAACGTCGCGGAAAAAGTGCTTTCCAGACAGAAGTGCGTCGTAGATAAGAGATAATTGAAGCCTTTACCACGAAACTTTCATTTTGATGGACGCTCGCCTCGAAATGACATTGCCATTCTACCTAATGAGGGTCAAATACTTTGTCGAAAATTCTTTTGTGATGTTTTTACAAAGTTCAAATAATATGTTAATATTCTGGTTAACAGTCTTCCTTGGCGTACTTTTGCACTAAATTAAGTATAAATGAAGTATTTTTGTATATTATGTACATATAAATACAAGTAAATATTAAGTCCCGGTTAACGCCGTGTAAAACACTTGTATGAAAGACGTGAGTAAATAATGATTACAAACAAAGTTGACTTTTCGAGAATTTTTAAACATTTTATTTTTATTTTTTTGCGGATGGAAAACAAATATACCTGTTTTTGTTGACAGGGGGTGGTTTTATGAGATTATTTGGTACTTACCTCGCAACACATGGATCTGCTCTGGGCACATACTTCAGAATGTTGCGACCACGTGGAGTACCACTTGATTTCCGTGAGATTTTGAAGAGAGTTAACACACCATTTATGTTTTGTTTGAAAATACCTGGATCCACATCTCTCGCAGAGGTATTTATAGAAAATTTACGCTTTTAATAAATATAGGTAACAAATTTTACGTTTTCATAATTTATTAAAAAGAAAAATTTTATATATTCATTGTCCGACAGGCACAGCATTTCGATTGCTATAATAAAGCTATCGTAAGAAGTGATTTTATTACGTCTTTTATGGGTAGGACCGTGGGTATAATACAATTTTGTTTTAAATAAAAATAAACCCACGTAAAATCACGATTATTATTAATTGCATTATTTAAAATTGATGGGATTGCATTCTCCGCTGTTGAGCGCATGCCGTGATAAAAGCCAATATCGGGTTAGGAAATCCAATATTGTATTGCACTGATTAACGTAACAGACGCCATTTATTTTGGATACGTACCAAAACGATGAAGTTGTGAGGTTTTTTTTTCATCCGAGATACGACGACGAAATAGCCATGCGATACTGCTGTCAAGCTGCTTTTACAGATAATGGTATAACGTCTTTTTCAGGGATCAATTTAGAATTTCTCTAGAGAATCAGTGTTTTTGCGACATAGATTAAGTTTTACATTGCGCCATTACGCTATTTTATTTTGTTAACATGTACTACAAAAACAACAAATACGTAATAAGGTGTAAAATCAATGTATGTAATACGATGTCTCCTCAAAAGTCTATGAAAATTCGTTCACTAAATAATCTAAAACCTTAAAAAATGTTTTTAAGTTATTTGAGCAACTTTTTTTACTTAAATACTACCCTTTGATGAAGGGTTTTCTTTTGTATTATGCGGGGTGTTTTCGTATCGCTTTCAGCCCTCTCTTTGTTATTGGCGACGGGTAGGCGTCGCACTTCTATTTCAAGAGATAGACCTTTGTACAGAACCACTTTACTGGGTTGACCCAACAGTATAACATCGTCTAAAATGAACACTGTAGCTATTTGTTTAATAGCGTAAGTGATACCTAAGTAAAGTGGGTTTTATTTAATGTAAAATTTTACAAAGTATCACTGGAGTATATAACTTTGCCGTCTGCCATATTTCTACATAGCAAACGACGCTAAAATAGGCAGGTAACTACAAAAAAAAAAGATTTCAAAAGGTTACTGAAGAAAGATTAAAGGACAGCTCATTAAGCGAAAATTTAAACAGTATTTAAAGTCTTTTGATTTTATTTGTAGTTACATTTTGAGACAGACAAATATGCATACATGATAGAAGTTATTTTCAAAGTAATGTGTGTAGTAAAAAACATTATTTTGATTTAAAGTGTCTAGTTTAAGTTATATGTAGGCCGTCTTTTACTATATATTATACCAGAGCACGTTTCTATGTTACTGACCTATAACTTAAAAGTAGTTCAAACTTCAAAATCAACTTGAATGTGACGGTTACTTGCACGTGATATTCAAATTACTAGCGAATTTTACTCACACTAAAAATATAACGGCTCAACTAAGTTAAAATATAAGGTTAGCATGAATTAGAAATACCACCGAAATAACGGTACATAAAATCAATGGGATCTGTGAAAGTTAGTAAGACTCTTTTTGTCAAGTAAGAAAAATGAGATCTGATGATTATTCAAACTCATTAACAGATCGTCATAAATTATATAGCTACTAACCATCTTTATCACATCATCTTCAAACTTCTCTGGACCACCTAAAGGTTGACTGGAAGATAATGCTGATAACATTACGTCCGTTCTTTTACATGTTTTGTGTGCACAAAAAGTAAATAAATAAAAAACAAAAAAAAAACTGCCTAATAAGCGGTCCAATCGTTTAGAAGCTTCGATGTCACAAACAGACAATAGATACACAGACAGGCATGTCAAACTTATAACGGTAAATAGTAACAGTAAGTTTTACATTTTCAACCCACTTTTTTACATAGGGGGTTAAAAATGTGGGACGCTTACGTATATTGACATGTTTCCTTCCCACGTCCTATATGAAGCTTTTCTGCTTCATAATTTTCACTACTTTAGGAAACCTTCCAAATTTTCTCTTCCAGTTGATCGTTCCTTTAAATCTCATCTTGTATAGTACCTACCTACCTTGTATAGCTTGGGAATATTCCAAGTTTCCAACGCTACAAAGAAAAATAACGTTTTATGCTGCGTAATATTTTCAAAGCTTTTGGCATCACTTTTAAGCTTTCCTATTTAACACATAAAATGACTTTTTTTTTTCAATAAACCTGTAACGTTCGTGACGAACCATATCGCGTTTTAAGCATTATTGGCAGCATTAAGTTCAAATGACGTGTTTATGAATCTAAACGATATATGTATGTTCATTAATGTGTTTTTAGTAGTGTTTAATGGTGTTCAAATTAATTCGGTTGTAGAAAGAAAGTTTTCCTATGGAAACTGGAAATACTGTTGCATTTTCAATAACGTTTGACTTGCCATTGCTAAATCTCTCTGTACCTAGCTGCTGTTCTCAATTTTTTCTGTATAAATCATTAAATACAGAATGGAACAATCCAGTCATGTGTTGAGATATTCTAAAACTCTATAGCCTTTTTACGTTATATATACCTACGAGTATTTTAACAATATAAAAACTTTTTTGTTTGTTAAACTGTTAACTTAAATTAGTTTTAAAATTACAGGGACTCGAAATTAAGGGTCAGATGGTTTTTTGTTCAGAGTCGGATTCGCTACTTTTCGTCGGTTCACCCTTTTTAGATGGTCTTGAAGGGCTTACAGGAAGAGGGCTCTTCATTTCGGACATTCCTTTACACGATGCCACTAGGGATGTTATTTTGGTTGGAGAACAAGCAAGGGCACAAGTAAGATCATTATAGTTTCATTGAAGGCATGTTAATAACTTATCATTTTTTTTAATTCTTTTTTTTTGTTAAAAACATTGCCCATACTTTAGGATAACATTATCCTGTGTTGTAAGGACGTTTTATAAACATAAATTTCACGCGGACAAACACCCAGATACGAAACAACTATCTGTGGGTCACACAAATAGTTGTCCCGTGTGGGGATCGAACCCACGAGTCATAATTATTTGGTTATTTCATAATAAGTGTATTTTGTTTGACTTGACTATTTAATGATTAGTGAAATTAATGTTCATTAAACTGTTTTAGGATGGTCTAAGAAGAAGGATGGACAAATTAAAGAATTCAATCGAGGAGGCCAGCAAAGCCGTAGACAAGGAACGGGAAAAAAATGTCAGTCTATTGCATTTGATATTTCCACCTCATATCGCAAAAAAATTATGGTTGGGTAAGTTTATTTCTTCATAAAATAATACTAAAAAAACCTTTTTTTACATAGCTTTAATGAATTTAAAAGTTTAATTGTAATCGAAGGGACTATCATTTAAGATTATAAAAAAATTAAGAGCTGAAATAAACTGTTTAAGAAATTCATCATTTAATACACTTATTTCTGCGGTCAGTGCAATTACTAGTAGAATTTAAATAATTCTTATGTTTTTTTATTGCTATACAAAGAAAAAATGCATGAGTTCTGCCAAATAAGCATCAGAATCAGGAAACTTATTAACTGTTTACTTATTATTACGTCCATGTCCATTGCCGAAAATATCTCATTTAAATAGTTTTTCTTTCTTTTATACGACGACAAGTTCAAAACGTATGTTTGCTGAAATGTGAATAGAGAGTTATCTTGATTGAACTCAAGGTTCAAAAGACACACAAATTCCTATCTTTGCAGCAAGTAAATTTTATTTCAAAAGAAAAATTTATTTGGTCTTATGATATTAATGCCCGTTTCGATCCCTAACTTTAAAGGACCAAAAAAAAAAAATGCCATTTTCGTTTTGACCAGCGCTTAAGGGTCATCTTTAGGAGCCCTTATTCTTAAGACTTTAGCCTTAAGCGGTAAATTAAGGGTAATTTGGTGAAAATGAATTTTGGTGACGGCCCGATTTAAGGAATCCCTTAGGTTAGGGCACCCTTCGTAAGGCGCTTGAGGGTTCAATGGTGAAAACGGGCATAAGACTACATAAATAGCAAACTGGTGAAACTGTAAAACCGTTTCAGGGGAGAAAATCGAAGCGAAAAGTCACGATGACGTCACTATGCTGTTTAGCGACATTGTTGGTTTCACATCTATATGCGCAACAGCGACCCCTATGATGGTCATCGCGATGCTTGAAGATTTGTATAGTGTGTTCGACGTGTTTTGTGAAGAGCTGGACGTTTATAAGGTGCGTATAATGACTTCAATTACGAGGAACTTTACTCTACCCTTGTAATAAAGTATATTACCGTGCAACTGGCGGTTTGGTAGGAATACAGAAAATATATATTTTTAAAATTAGTATTTTTTCACCGTCTTTTTTGAACTCGGTTAAAACAATAATACATATTACAATAAAATATATATATATATATATATATATATATATATATATATATATATATATATATATATATATATATATGAGACAAATTCATCATAGCAAATATTTAAATGGCTTTCATTGCCATTTTCCATATCAAAATCAAAATCAAAAATATATTTATTCACATAGACGCTTGCGCGTTCTTATGAAATGTCAAAATTTTACATAAAAATTAATACGTTCGTAAGTTACCACATATAATTATTTTGTCATAATTAGGTGGAGACAATTGGTGATGCATATTGCGTTGCAAGTGGGCTTCATCGTAAGATCGATACCCATGCTCCGCAAATAGCTTGGATGGCATTGCGAATGGTGGAAACTTGTGCTCAGCATCTTACGCACGAAGGAAACCCTATAAAGGTACCAAAGATCGCTTTCAGTTAAGACGGTTAAAAGTAGTTTCAATATACTAGAGTATACGTTGTTTTCCATATATTATTTGGGTCTCATCCTCATCGTAAAATAGATATAAAATTTTACGCTATTAATAACTTAAGAGGCTTTCAAAATGAGATATCAACATAAATCAAACCTATCAAGTTTAAGACAGAGTTCAATGTGAGCCTGTGGCTATGACATGCTGCGCGAACGTAATAGCCATTAGAGCGTGCCGGAAAACCGGAACCGTAGGATACTGAGATTTGGAACGTTACCTATAAATATCAATATAAACAACGATGATTTGAAATCACTAATTCTCATGGTAACGACACTCTTATCTACTATATTACGGGCAAGTATTGTACATAATAATTATACTCGTATATGCCACATTTTTTAAAACATGTTGATTCTTGAAACGTCCCTACAATATAGAGGTTACCCTGCCGTGTGTGTGACTGATTATTTTTAGATAAATGTTTAAGTGGTATACGCCTGTATCAACAAATTATCTATTTAAATTGTCAAATGCATGACTCCCATTTGTTTAGCCTAGAACAAAATAAGAGTCCTAAAAGGTAAATTTTACCCTACCAAGAACTTGTATAGGACTTATATGTGGGAATGAATTAGTAAAAAAAAAACTGGCAAACGAACTATCATTATTACACTATTATTTTACTGCGCTATTCCATTAAAATCTTCGTTTACTTTACTGTTTTCTGATGATTAGTTGTTTACCCAAAAGGTAGCCATTTTATAATATGTTACTGAACTCTGTACTCTTATTTGTGCGTAGATGCGTATAGGTCTTCATACCGGTACTGTCCTCGCCGGTGTTGTCGGAAAAACAATGCTTAAATATTGCCTATTCGGTCACAACGTCACGCTTGCCAATAAGTTCGAATCTGGCTCGGAGCCGCTGAAGATTAACGTCAGTCCCACAACTTATAAGTAAGTGACAACTAAAATTGACACAATTTTCACGGAAAATAGAATTTAAGTTATAAATGCAATACTGTTTTAAATAAAACTTTTAAAATTATTGGTAATATAAAAATTCAATGGTAAATATTTTATTTTAATTTGTAACGTGTAAATATTTCAAAAGTTTTTAATGTTAAAACACATAAATTACGGATTTAAACTATTTCTTTATATTTTTTGGATCATACTAATTAAATTCAAAGCCTTTATGTATTTAAAGTATTTTTAACACGCGTGTTAATGAAATATTTTTTGGTTTTTTGATATAGGTACTATACTCTGTGTTTCTCACTTTTTTACTGTACAAAATTAAATACTAAAAAAATATTTCACTCAGGATCCATATCAGGATACAATGTTTGTATGTAATATACCGCTCTTTCACCTTTACCACATAACTAGTTGTCACAGTTAGTTCATATCAATAGACCCTACTGCAGGACCTTACAGAGAAATTTTCTTCGCAGATGGCTAATAAATTTTCCGGGTTTCGAAATGGAGCCGCGGGATCGCTCTTGCCTCCCGAATTCTTTCCCCAAGGACATTCCAGGGACATGCTATTTTCTGCACAAATACACTCATCCGGGGACTGACCCAAATGCGTCACAGGTGAGCAACGACCTAATCTCGCTCGCCTTTTTTTAAGAAGACAGCTAAAACCCTTGTTTATGATATAGTCTTTAATAAAAACAATGGCAGGCGGCTGATCCTGTTTGGGCAACCAATATTTCGAGACTAATCATCCTCAACCTTTTCCTTTGAAAATAACGTCAAATAAGTGTTTTATGTATAAGGTTTAAATAAATAGAGGTCTTACAGAGGTCTTACGTACTGTAATACAATCGTTCCCTCAAATTGTTCCCTCATAATTTATCTAAATCTATTCAGATCTTCAAAATACTTCACCACATTGTTCTGAGGGAAGTTATTATTATGATGAAAATTTTTTATCCTTCGATTTAACGATATCATCTCGACAAACGAATTCTCTTCAACCTATCGGCATAACATTGACAGGCTATCGGTGCAGTATATAGTAAAATCATGTGTAACTATGCCGTTAGTCGTTCATCATCATCGTGTTTTAGTTGTCATATCGTTATACGAAACTGACGTAGGTAAAGTCGTCATGTTAAGACAATATCGTCTTCAAGTTTACACGTACTTTCCTTAAACTTTGTACAAATAAGATAATGAACTTTATTTCTTAATTAATTAAACGACCATGTACGCATGTAAGAAAGTTTTAATAATACATTATTCTACATTGTTAATAGGTGAAACATATAGAGGACGCGTTGATTGATTTCGGCATTGGGCAAGCAAAGGCAATAGCCGCCGATAGTGAAGAATCTACGTAGTTGGCCTGTTTGCTGCACAATAACATTTATTAAATATCTCACTCATGTAATTATTTCTCTAATTAGTACAATAACTTACTTATTTCATTTGTATATAGAATCGTTTTTGTATTTTATTAAAAAGAGCCTTATTTTGAATTGATTTGTAACTGTAGTTAATACACGATAAAATGGCGTATAGCGTAATAGTAATGTATAGCCTAGGAGCCCTTTGATTACACAAGAGGTGTTTATGCTGTTTAATGTTTAGATATCGATTCCGCTTATATAGTACAGCTTATTTATTATAATCTATTTAGTAAATATTGGACTAGTATAATAGAAATTGTTTTCAACCTGTAATAAAAAAATGAGTACTTCATTAAAACATGTAGAAAAGCAACATGTACTTCATTCCGATGTTTATAAAATATATCTGTATGAGATGAAAAATATTACATATATATATATATATATTCATATTCGCACATATTTGCATGCGAAAGTAAAAAAAAAATTATTAATAAATAAAACCATACTACCTAGGTATGCCTTTCATGAATAATATGGCTTGCACAATACACTTATACTTTAATCATTGTAAAAAAGAAATGAAAGTAATTGTCGCAAGAAGCCATTCATAATGCTCATAAAACTATTTGGAAAATCGTACATAGGTAAAATATTAAATAATCTGTATAGAAAATTAGACGTAAATAGTTGCGCTTTCTTTAAAATTTAACACTTAATAAAGGTTGTGGTCTTTATTTCTTACTAATTTTTAATATGTAATATTTTATTTCGAAGTCTTGTACTATATACTAGGCCTGATTATATATTGGTAGGATCGTCCAGAGCAGTACAACGGTTATAATATCGCGTTTCATCTGGTAAGCGAGGTAGCCGGGACCCAGTTTTTTTAAAGTAGTTGGCAACGTGGCAGCGGTAATCACTTAACACCAGGTTAATCACTTGCTCGCTTGCCAAGTTTTCGAAAAAAAAAAGCACGTTGTCGAATTGAAAGCGACTAAATTCAAAAAACACTTCGCGTAAACACAAATATTGAGATCGTGTTTTGTTTACCTATAACTGTGTATCATTTCATTAAGAACTATGTTTATATTCATAAGAGCAGATGTTTAATACCTACATCATATGTCATATTCTTATTTTCATGTATGTATATGGATCCAGCTCCGGTACTATATATATATACAAGCAATTGTGTAAATTAAACAGAAATTAAAATGTATATCTCGCTAAGTATTAGCTTTAAACTATATCAAGCTTTACTATTTTGCAAATAAGAAAATGTAAATATTTTTGAACCTGGGATAATTACGACTTACATAGATATAATGCGATTAGCCGCAGTCAATAGATACTAAGTTACGTCTTAACGTAATTTTTAACCTCGAACAATTGTACATTGTACAGCAATTTAAATGTTAATTCATATAAGATAGAGTAAATTTCTTGCTAGCTTTTCATTTAGATACTGAATTAAATATTTTCTAACACTATTCGACTGTTAAAATATAGAACATTGTTTTTGGTTTTTACCTTCAAAAATCAATGAATGTAGTAAGTCTATACTATTGAACTTAATAGCAAAGTCGTGGACTTTATCTGTATATAATTATTAAGTATTTAATTTAAGAAAAAGCAATACTTTCGATCATAATTATTTAAATATAATTGTAGATTTATTCATAATGAAAGTAACTGTAAATATTACATAATATTAGAGAATATAAATATATTCACAGAAAAAGCGTGCGTTCTAAAGTAGATACTGTACTCGCCATACCTAATGTATGAAATTTAAAATTACAAATAATATCTTTAGAATATAGATACTTACTGAATAATATATTTAATCCCATCATTATTAAGTTTAACAGAAATTAACCGACACTATTATAGAATTTTATTCCATATTATAAGTAGTTGCACAAACATAAATAATGATGACTTGATTTTAGATATTCCTGGCAGTTACAATTTCAAACATCTCAAAGTTCTAATACTAAATGTATATTTTACATCGACTAAAACAAAAAAAAATTAAGATAGAACACGCAATTCTAGGCCATTAAGTGAGATGCTACGAGTATTATATTCTTTGTTATAATTCTATGTATAATATAAAGTATGTGCAAGCTTAAACATCACAATTAATAAAAAATAATGTAAATAAATAAAATTGAAAGAAATGCTCGCAACAAATAAAAAAAGATAAACACCAATGAGCCGTTAAACATCAATCGTGATTATTATTATTTTAATACGAATTATTTTGTATAAAAGAAATAAATATAATTCAGGCATTGTAATTAAAATTATTTTAGGAGCATCAAAACTCAACACAGAACTCTTAAAAAAGTCAAGCGTAATTAAAATATAGATGCCTATTATAATAATGTACGATCATGGAATAAGTAATACTTAAACAATGAAATATGTCAAATCAGTGACATGTCTAAGTATTCTTTGAACATTTTAACAGCGACCGACAAAGTTAAAAAGACGAAAAGTTTGTAAAACATGTTTTAAAAGATAATGATAACATTTTTCTTCTATAAATAAATATACGTCAGTTAGAATATATTATGTGATGTACCAAAAGTTTCTCACGTAGAAGTCTCTGAACAAACTGATTAGTGGTAGTATTTTTGAAACTTTGCCTTACAACACGGGCTTTAATGTGTGTAAATGTAATCAAATATGCAAATTGTAAATCAAATAGATAATGCTATAATATGTAAATTTCGCAATATACTTTTAGGTTAATTGTGTAATCACCTGAGCCTAATCTTCATTCAATATTGATTTTTAACTGTGAATGCACTGTTAGACAAACACTGTGTAATAAAGATTCCTTTCACATAACAAGTTTTTCATTACTATATTGGTATCATCTCCCGTTGGACCATCCTCAGCCTGAGATAATTTCCTACTAGTCATTGGTCTAATACACACCTCATACCTCATACCGATCCGCGGGGTTTTGACCAGTATCGAGCGTAAATTATCGCATCGAACATCCTCCTATAAGTTTATCTTGTACCTAGGCTATTGATTTACTATAAGTTCCCTTTCAGAGAGTGAAACTGAAACACTGCGGATTGGCAGACGTCCCCTCCGATCTTGCGGGTGATCATGGGCGGGATTTGAATTTGATTTTTTGTTTGCTTGTATATATTGAATTAAAAGCGAGCGCCCGGACACTGAGCAATGTATCACGATATGAGGCATACTCAATGAGGTGGCAAACATACTACTAAATAGGCTTTTAGATTTCAGTACAAGTGTTGCTTAATATCAGACAGGATAAATAGCTTGATGATTGCAAGTGGCTAGTAAAGTGAAAAGAAAACCGACAAATGAAAACACGAAAGTTTCCCCTACAATCCATACTAATATTATAAATGCGAAAGTAACTCTGTCTGTCTGTCTCGCTTTCATGCCAAAACTACTGAACCGATTTAAATGAAATTTGTTACACAGATATTTAAGAGCCTGAGAAAGGACATAGGCTATTTTTTAAATGGAAAAAAGTGTTGTAAAGGGTGTAAAATATCTTTCTTTAAATATATATATATATATATATATATATATATATTGAAGAAAGACATTTGTTTAAGGGCTTCAACGCGAGCGAAGCCGCAGGCGAAAAGCTAGTTATCTATAAAACATCAAAAAAAAAATCATATCTTTTGTATGATAGCCTCAATTAAATATTTTTTGAATTATGTTTTTTACTACTTTTTGTTATAGCAGTAACAGAAATAAATTATTTGTGAAAATTTCAACTGTCTACATATCACGGTTCATGAGAAACTGCCTGGTGACAGACGGACAGACAGACAGCGGAGTCTTAATAATAGGGTCTCGTTTTATATACCAGGCGCAGTTTATGTGACTTTGATGTCTTTATTTATCAGAGTTTTTTTTAGAGTTGCATAGACGTAATTGATTACTGTTATGTTACTCTTTGTTAATATATTCCTTTTTTTTACACTTAATATATAAGAAAAAAATTGAAATACACTATAAATTTGATTAAATATAATAAGTAAATATTTTTTTAAGTAAAATTATATTTTTTGACCGAGCTTGCGAGGGTTGTTAGCTGTACCGACTGCCTCAGATATCGTAATTTTTTATCAGTGCAGAGTGTTATGGATTAAATATTGATTGGTTGATCATAATTGGATGTTTTTATGGTGAATAACTTCAAAAATGTTATTAGTAAATGCATTCTTTGTAGTAAATGTTAATAAACCACCTCAAAGTCTTTTGACAGAATAGATTATTTGAACCCTCCTAATCCTATTGTACTGTATTGTATTAACTGATGTTAACGCTTTCAGTCCCAAGACGATTAAAGCTTCATCTAAAGCAGAACCAGTGGGCTCGCCAGAACCCACGGGTTTGAGGCTCCTAATCCTATGTTTATTTGACGGAGCTCACATGACAGGAAAGACTTAAGAATAATGAGTGATATGACATTGCCAGTCAGTGCTACCAGAGTACAGCAATTAAGTCCGTTACTACGTAAAATGAAACCTCTTCTCTAACTTGTATTCTCAAACTAGGCATTATAGCTGTGCCACAGACACAAAAGGAACACATTTTTGAAATTAAGGAATTTAAAAGGCAATCTTTGTTGGTAAATACTTCTAGTTCAACAGAACAGTAATCTAACTAGCATTTACGGTCAACGATGTATAAGCTGCTCGTAAATTAATGTCTACTACTAAGTTAGATTTTTTGTGTAGTACATCGATAGGTTCGATGTACTATAGAAAAAATCTAAAGCGATCCACCATTTGGACGTAACAGACATTTTGTTTTATACAAGCATCGTACCTCAGGGAGTTTTCTTGGTCACCTGGTGTTGTACATAGCCGAGGTTTATTAACGCGATGGGGGCAGGTGCGCCCTTAATTTCCATACCGTAAAGTTTATTAAGCGATGCTCTGGGGCAAATTGTAATGAGACCTTGAATGTTT